TGAAATACTTCTACTGGGGCTTTAAGAACATGTTAGAAGTTTGATTGTCTAATAAAATGTGTGGAGGTAATGATTGAGTAACCAGCAAGCGTTTCACGAAAACAAGCCTTTCTCTACCGACCTCCAGTATTTATGCTTTCGCCATCACAGATACTGGTGTAACAGGGTCGATTACCTCACACATACATTTCTAATCGGTTGCAGTGAGTAAACATTTCACGTTTTATAATCCATCAATAATGCATAGAAATAAGTGAGACTGTACAGCGCGATACTGACTACCTTGTAACAGCCTAACGTCTCGTTCTACAGATAGCTGAATAGGCAACAAAAGATGAAATATTTTTCCGCATTCTACAACAGTTAGACTAAACAATACAGTTTATTTTGGTTCTGAACTGTAAATTTAAATATGGACCACCAACTGAAAGCTTATTTTTATAACTCAATAAAATAAACAATACAACTGTGAACAATAAAGATAGATCATGTTGAGTTGAACTTACCAAAAAATACTTCAGTGAATGATGACACAGAAAAGGTGTAAGTTGGAAGAACTGGAGCTCTTTTTTATCAATTTGAACTTGTAACTCGATCCAGTGATGCAGTAATCTCGAAATCTGAAGGTTATCGGCTCCAATTCTAACAAAAATGCTCACTAGCGACTTGCCCTATCCAGGTAGGTAGCTACCTGGGGTTCTACTGAGAAGTCGTGACCAGTAGGGTACAGCAGGTCGGGTGTGAGGACCAATACCCGTCAAAGACATTGGCTAGGAGTCACGCTATGTGGTGAATTTGCACAAGTTGGAATTAATGGGCCATTAGATCGGGTCACAGTGGCTTATTGGTCTACGAGCTAGCTCGCCTTGTAACCAGAACGTCCTGGGTTCTAACCCGGTGGGTGCGTACTGATAAAGAGTCCCAAACTAGGAAGAAAAAGCCATCCAGTACTCCAAGGATTTCCAATGGTTTCCTAACTAATGTCAGCTCATGATGAAATCCTGTAAGAAATGCTTGTTGTTTTCCTCTCCCTTGATTCAATCATAAGACAATTTGTCAGTCAATGCAATTTAGAACAATTCAATCGATAATTGTATTATTGCTGACCATTTTCATATTAATCATTGAAAGTACTGTCTCCGTGACAATGAACAATCGAGCCAGAGAATCTATTCTAGTATGTCAACTAAATTTCATAAAAGTTGAATGCACACTTTGTTATTTCATAGCTCGGTGTCTGTATTAGCGGGCTGTGACAACTAGAACTAATTAGAAAATGATTTCTATCTTTTGCAGTCTCGAAAACTGTGAATTTAGCAATTAACCACATTAGCTGCCGCTTAACCCCCCCCAGGTAGGTGGAGAAAGGTTCGAACCTGTGACCCAGTGGTAGAAGTAAAGTACCTGAATCAATAACCCACAGCTCCTCATATTCCCTCTACCCGTTTCAGAATGAAAATCACATATTTATGCAAAATTTACAAAATCAACTGTTTATTCTAAGTTGACATTTGTATGATATTTTGAAAATATGACTGACCTCAGTGTTGTTTTAACCAAGGAAAGATTTAATCTTAAGGAACCATTGAAAGCGAGGAAATGATTGGGCAGTTATTTTGACGAAATTTAAGTAATTCCATTAAAACTTCATCCGGAGAAGTAGTGAGTTTGAGAACTTCAAGTTACGACATAAGGATACAAATATGCAACCAACAGAATTAAATCGAATAGATCACGGTTTCTAAATTCTGCTTTCAAACTATTCAGCATTATCAACACCAATTAGCAATTTATCGAACCCCTCCCTCTAAACCCAGTGAGTTGATTACCACCACTCATTGTTTATCAGTTGCTGACTACAATGTGGACTTCTTGAAGTCTTAGTAAGGAACAATGACCAGTGGGTTATATCAAGTGGATATATACGAAGATACTCACCGATGACACTCAATGCCACTACAATTTGGTATAAACAGGATTCATTGTATCCTAACTAAGGAATAGAATTCCTACCTTATAATATGTGATAGGCTTATGGATAAGAACTGCTAAACACCAAGGTGAAACAGCTGTCCATTACGCCCTGGTTTTCAGCACTTTTTCTACCTCATTTAGGTTCATGACAATACCAACTTTGATAACAGTGATTGACTAACTTTTTTTTCTTTCACGTTCCCCAGTGGAGCATAGGGCTTCAAGCTAGTGGCTTGAAATTTCTCTAGCAGTGTTTAATTTTACAGGATGGGGTCGCTAGCCTCATGCCCAACCTTTTCTCTTTACCTGAATTATTTCTGGCTTAGCGAGGTAAAGGAGTGCGTCTAGTGGCCGGGTATCGAACCCGGATCATGTGCATGGTCGGCGAGTGTCCTAACCACTATGCCACCCCCGCACGGTTGACTAACATACCACGTTGTATTCACCTTCATACAAGTCAACCATTGAGTAGCAGTTTACTGTTCTGTTTACTATTACAACAGATGAAACATGACTACTGAGCTATGCATTACGACAAGCTAACTAAGTGTAACCGCGATGTCGCCTACTCTCTTAAACATTCAGTCTAAAATTAACTGATCTCGGGCTTGTTTCCCGTTCTGCCTACTTCAGCTTAAACAACTGGGGGTGGGGTTAGTGTTACTGACCCTCACAGAAATCGTGTGGCACGTGGCCTGGTAGCCAAAAACTCGGGTTACAACCAACAGTAAATATAGAAACAAACAACCAAACGGTATTTAGTGAAAAGGTGGACTGATCGAAGCAAATTCAGAGCATCTAACAATGAACAAATGACATTGAATTTAAACAGGCTAGGCGACAAATGATGAACAGTTGATAGCATGTTTTAGAAATAGAATTGTAACACTAAAGTGTGCTAATAGCAAGCAGAATTTCAACAACTTATCATTTAACTAAAAATAGCATAATATATCCAAATATTCTCAGTTTATAAATAAACAAAATAAAGGGTAAACAACATAGAAAAACTAAAAAAAAGGTGACGACTACCTGTAACTTTTTTCTCATATTAGAATATTTGTAAACAACAAGATGAGTGAATTAGGTTAGGTTGTGTAGTCTTATTTTATGCAAATAATATTAGATGAAATTTCAGTCCAAATCAGTCAGTCACATGACTTGGTCAATATTATGCTGAAGAATGATGCATGCAGGCTTATGCAAAACATTGTGAGAATTCCGATAACACCTTCAACCTGAGGAAACAATGAATTCAGTCTACCCCAAACAAAGATCTGGATTCATGACACTTGTCACCTATCTACCAACCAGTGTTCAATCAAAATATCTAATACAGTCCTACAGGAGGTGGTGAATCTTCAACCGAATAGCTCACTAGTGATGTCTGTAGATCACAGTCAAATCTCAGAGGGGACACGGTTCCTTCAAGAATGCAGATACGCTTTACTGACTGATGAGTGCCGACAACCATAAAACCTGGGTTCAAGGTTTCCTGCCCATTGTATCCAACCATCTAAGAACTATTCAATCGAATTTTAGATTTTCCCGTCGATTGATTGGACCGAAGTGCTCTGTCTCAATTTGACATGTTGGCTTCTTGGTGCAGACGCTTCGACGATGTTTAGGCATGCAATAGGAATTTAATTAGTGGATGGTGACTAGCAGTGAAATCCCAGAAAACGCGCATTTCGTCCAATTTGGGACTCGTCATTTTGATATACCTGCAATCCCAGTGAGTGATGATGTTCACACTGAGGATGAAACCCAATGCACATAGTTCCAAACGCCGACGCGCTATCACTGGACCACTTGCTCCACAAGAGAGCCACCTCGTTCTTGTGCAACGGGTCATACTAATTACTTGATTGAATTTTAAATTTTCCCGTCGATTTATTGAACCGAAGTGATCGGTCTCAGGTTGACATATCGGCTTCTTGTGCAGATGCTTTGATGTGTCTGGGATAGCATTTTGGCATTTGAAACTATTGGCACTGGGATTGAGCCCCAGTGAGAACATCATCGCTCACAGAAGAATGCAGGCACATCCAGTTGACGAATACCAAATAGGAGGAAATGCACACCCTGGATTCCACTGTTAGTCACCATCCACCAATTAAGCCTCTAAGAACTACACTTTAATTATTTGATAGTATATACTTCTGATATATATGAGTAGCTAAAAGCCGATAACTGTAAACAGTTTTTAGCGTTAACAGAATCGCCTAACGTTTTTATACGGAATATGGGTCTAGAAAATGCTTTTCAACTAGTGAGTTACAGGTTCGATTTTTACCCCCAACTTTCAATTTTTGTGAGGCTTGATAACAATGCAAGATGAAATAATAAAAAAAGACTCATAGCTCAAAGTCAGAGTGGAGTTCTCTAAACGCTGATGTAACGATGTTTAGTGCTGAAGGTATCACCAAGCTTGGAGATGAAATGTCGCAGATCAAATATCAAGCAGAAACACTAAACAATTTTCAAGCTTATTAGTTTATTTATGAAAAATATCATTGGAATTGCCAAATTACATAGGTTATAATGAAATTAGAATGTATCATAATTGTAAGACATCCTATGAATATTTGTCATTTGAATAACCACAGGAATCATGTCATCAAGAGTTTCCTACCACATGAATTTTGAGAATCACTAGACCATTATACATCCGGTCTACAATTCTCTTACGTGGAGAAGTCTAAAGGCAATAAATTCATGAATTTATATTATACAACCATGTCCAACTCTTTTCCAGTCTTAAGTTTACTTCAGCTAACATTATTCGGTAAAGAAGGCGGTGACTGAAAGAGATATGAGGCGGAAAGAATAGTAATAACGAAGAACCACATAGTTTTATTAGGTATTATATGTCACAAGGATTGGATGCATCTGTGCCTCCAACTATCTAATATCATCAAAACATAAATTATACTGATTACGTATCATAAACACTAAAAATTAAATGAAGAAGCAGCACAGAAATGGATTAAAAATCGAAATTTACAACATTATACAGAACTCACCTTATTTACAAGTGCCATAATCATATTCACACGATAAACCAGTTGATCATATTGTCCACGAAATTCAGCAGCCTTTAAAAGCAAGTAATAAGTATCTTTAATAAGAAGCTTAGAAACCAATAAAAATAGACAAAACAGTCGAGAATATTAACAAAAACGAGAAGAATAAAATACAAAACTCTTCTTAATTTGAAGGAGTAATTGTCTCTTCAACTAACTATCATTGTATAACAAGCGATACAAGAATAATTCACATAAATAAGTAGTCAAGTTCAGTATCAATCACGCAAAGTTGAGTAGATCTATACAACTCACAATAGTTAAGAGAAACACTAAGAAACTAAATTATACAATCTCACGTATATACGAAACGGTTATTCATTCGCAGTAAGCCTGTTTACCGGATGTAACACTGATGTGCAATGTAACTTGATATCGGACAAACAGAAGTTCATTAGGAGATGCTTTTGTTTTAAAGGTCTGTGTTTCATCAGTACTAACAAAGAGTGGAGCAGTCAATCATTGGATTCGTTCTTCTACCTCAATGCACTGACGATTGAACAACCATGCAGTATCACAAGTCCATACGATACTGTTAAAATTCAGTTATGTATAACAGACTTTTCATGTACCAGACTGTGAATCATACCTACTGCGTAGGAGGTGGTAACTCGGCGCAGTTGCCTAGAGTGAAGTCAGTGGAGTTGGTTTCGAACCTGGGACACATTGACCAAGACAAGAACGCTTAAGACAATGAGATACATCTCTACCGCTTTCAAACAATAGGTGTGGCTTATCGCCAACTGTATAGAGATGCAAGTGACTGTCCAGTGACTACAAACCGCCTAAGAAGAAGTATTTAGAATCGTTAGTTAATCTGATATTCAGTCAGGGGGGGGCAGACTTTTCGATTGAAATAATCAGACCCCAACTAACTTCTGTACGACTAATTGGTACCCACATAAATGACAGATTCCGATCAATAAGTTTAGAATCGAGAAGAGACAATCAATTGATAACCAGTTACCCATTAACATGCAATGCAGTACTCCAAGAAGTCATTCGCAATCTGGGTACCCCAAACTTCGATGAATGAAGCAACATTGGAACCCACTTTCCAGTGGTCAAAAAGTCGACAACCTAATCCAATGAGCCACAGTTACACAGACACTTAGATTATGTAGTCACAAAAACCTATCAAGATACTTTACATAGATCAGATAGTTGTACTATTTACTTCCTACAGAAGCACATTATTGTAGACTAGAGAGAAAATAGTTAAGACCATTGTATTCAGCAGTATTAATTACAAAGAATATTAGTCAACTTTTAATTTCTTCTTATTGAATTCTGTGACCGTTTTCGAACCCAACAGACTTAGGATAAATTACAATTGTTTAAGAATCTACAGAGATTTGTTTGATTGCATGGAGGATTTCATCACCATCATCTGACATCAGTAAGAAAAACACTGGAAAACCTGGGAGTACTGGACAGAATCGGCAGAAGTTAGAATTCAAGGGCCATTGGATCAGGTCCCAGTGGCCCAATGGTCCACGAACTAGCTCACCTTGTAACCGGAAGGCCCTGGGTTCGAACCGTGTCGGTGGGTGCGTACTGATGAAGAGTCCCAAACTGGGATGAAACAGATGTCCAGTACTCCCAGGTTTTCCAGTGGTTCTCTAACTGATATCAGCGTATGATGAAATCCTCCATGCAACCTACAGAGATAAACTGAGATGTTATGATCAAAATATTAAAAGGTTACATCTAACCTGACTACCGATCAAGACATGCAGATAAGTCAAGCATCCAATGGTAAAATATTTCCTACTTTTATCGATACATTTATGTCATAAAACGTTCATTTATCTACAACTAATGTCAATACAATGACATCTGCCTTTTGTAAATTCAGTAGTCAAAGAAAAACTGATTAAAGTCATTAAACGAATATCATGAAAATGGAAGAAAACAAAAGAGGTAAGTATGATAAAGTATTACTAAAACCTAATTCTATATACATCACAACAAAACCCTCTTTGTACATTAGTAGTTCTCCTACACATTTACTACTTTTTTATACCCTGAAACTGTAATAAACCCTTTGAGTATGGGTGAAATGAACTAATTTTCATCTTTTCTTGTTTTCTACGAAAAAGCCCAGCGAGTTGTCGGTTCACAGCACAATGTACTACATTGGTAAAGTTCACTTCTACTTGAGATGCTTCTTTTAGATTATCGTAATTTCTTTTTCTTTTGGATAGATTCACAATGATAACTGTCATTCTTAGCCGTAAAATCATGATTGATGCAATCAATAAGATATTGATTATTTATGGTTTAAATCTCTGTTGATGTGTAAAGAATAATTTACTCTGTATTGTGAATAGTACGATTGTTGTCACAGTTAGTGCGATTTCTGTGTCTACCTCAGTGTGGAGGAGTATTTTCAAGTGATCAGTTATCTGGTAGCACATTACAATCAAGTTAGACAACAGCTAACACATGACAAAGAAAGCAAAAAAGGACTACTCACTATCCGTAAACAAGAAGTCTTTTTATACGCGCGTAGATGATTTATCTTTGATATCACACACACAAAATCGAAGACTTACAAGCAAAAACCGACTAACAGACAGGTCGAAGAAGCAGCCAGAGAAGACAGGACTCCAGGTGAACATAGACAAGACGGAGGTTATGCAAATAACCAGCCAACAACAACAGCAGAAACATCCAGCGCCAATCATCATCAACGGAAGGGATTTAAAGAGGTTACTTCATTCATTCACTTATCTATGGAGCATTGTCTCAACTACAGACAGTTGGAACGGACGAGGATGTCAAATCGAGCGAGAATCGGGAAGGTGATCGAGAAACACATACATCAACCTGAAACCAATCTGGAAATCTTCGTCACTCAGCCAGCATCAACAACAAAATTCGGTCGGATTTTCAATACAAACAACGTCAAGTCAGTCAGTTCTTCTATACGAATCAGAAACTTGGCGGGTTACAAAGAGTATTTCCAACAGTTTGTTGCACGCCTTCATCAACCAACAACTGTCTTCGCTGGATCTATACTGAAGATCAATCAGATGGCCGGGCCGGAAAGAGTCACCAACAAGAAACTATGGGAACAAACAATCAAAACAAGAACCAATCGCCAACCAACAAATATGTGGAGATGGATTCAACACTCGTGGCTGAGGAGGCCGCTGGGTGACGTCGCGCGCGCGTCAGGCCATTACTCGAGTGGAACGAGGCCGAAAGGGAAGCGGCGAGTGGGACGTCAGTGCGAGGGTGACATGGAGGAGATCATGTGAAGAGCAGTTGAAACAGCATGGACAAACATGAATGCAGGTGAAAATTAGAGCAGCAGAAGACAGAAGCAGGTGGAGACATGCAGTTGAAGCCCTGTGTTTCACTAGGAACCCAAGGGAACAATAGCAATAATATAATATGAAATGTATAGAAAGAGTAATCAGCTGAAGGGTTTGTGAATTTAATCAATCGCGATTTCTTTACCACAGATGTCTGTGTCAATCAGTAGAATGAATAATATTTTACAGCCTGATTTTAAAAAAAAACACAACTTACCAAAGTTTCATCTACGACCATAAATAATTCCATAATGTATGGTTCTGTTTCACCTGGCCGATGGACAGCACGGACTGTATCCAAAGTTGGCTAAAAGATGAACACACGTAAAGAGTAATAAAAGCATAGTGAACAATACACATTTTATACATTTGGTTGCCTTGATAAAGTTTGAAAGAGAAAGAAAGACCAGATTTGCAGTATTATATGTGATGCCATCATTCTATTTCACAGGTTCTCATCAGCTGCAAACTACCTGAATTTACAGTGGTTATAAATAATAACATTTCATACTTCATTGTTTGAAAGGTAATAGAGAAAGCACTATAAGGTGAACGCATCTGGAATATAGGTATCATAATCTGATTCACCATCAATTTATATACTGTCAAACTATGAAAGAAGAAAAAAAGAGGGGGTGAGAGAAGACAAAAAACAGGAAAATCTAATAAACAGTGTCAGCATGGCAACTCAAGAAGGTCAAAGTTCATCAATTCGAAAACTTGCTTAGTGAGTTGAGCTCACTAGTGTGTATGACTAACAAATGTAATGAAAGTGATATGGTTACCAAGGGAGTGAGAGATTGACCACACTCTCTTTCTGTATGCATAAGTTTGGTCTGTGACGTTTGATCGCAATTGCTTCAGCAGCAAATCGTAGTAGGTTCGCTGTCCTTTGTATGTTTAATATTTTGAAGGATTTAGATATCTCAACAAAATGACCCGTATCCGTAAGGTGTCTGGTAATTGCACTTTGTAAATATCTGCTTCCTTTTAAGCATAAGCTTCTTGGAATATGGTCTGAAAACCCGATAGAAGCCTTTCTTTCTGTTCTTCCAAAGTACTTGATGCAGCAGGTACACGTTAATGTATAAATGCAGTTGGAGGTATCATCAGCAGGGTACTTATCCAGTTTCGATTGGCTTATAGAGCATGTAGTGCTGTATAGTGTAACCAGCTTAGCTGAAGGGAAGCATTTCTGTATTGTTCCTTTCATCCTCTTTTCAGTCGTTTGTGATACTGTATGGGATACATCGCTTTCTCATCTCTTTCTTTGCTGTACTATAGGGTAAATCCTTTTGGATACCCATTTTCCCAAAGGCATTTTCCATAGTTTGATAGCATATAAATTGATGGTGACTTAAACTAAAAATTGTAATACTTACACTGTGGATGCGTTCATCTCATAATGTTTTCTCTATTACCTTTCAAACATTGAATTACGAAATGTTATTATTTATAACTATTGTAATTTCCGGTAGTTTTCAGCTGATGAGAACTTGTGAAATAGAATGATGACATCACATTTTATACTGCAAATCTGGTCTTTCTTTCTCTATTGAAAAGCACGTTTTAATTATCAGAACTGTTGTTCTTATACGAATATTGTCTGTAGTAGTGGATTTCAAGATGTATGCCTTGTCTTCTTTGAAACTTGTCATCGAGATTTATCCGAATTTATCAACTCTTAAAGTACGACGATGTAAGACTGATAATAAAATGAGATGATGAAATGGAGTTTAGTGTCGACATACATGCAAATACTGCACTTTTGAAACTATCCCGTGTATTGAACTTAGAGATATCTAATGGGTTATCCTGATAGTACTATTGTAAAACGTTTGAGAGCAAAGAAAAGTATATACTGATGGGAAGAGAGGTACCCTATCAAATTATCAAAGAACGGAGATTAAGGCCTCTTCAAGAACTGGTGAGGAATCATGCTATTATCTACACCAAATTGAGTATTAAGTGACATCCCCATGGAAAGACTAAAAGATGATGAAATCCTGTAACCAATCAACCAAATCCCTACAAACAAATACTAAAAGATGTACTTGATACATAACTGCGACAGGAAAAGGCTGCATTCAGGAAAAGCAAATAGTATGCGGATCAAAAAAAAAGTCGAAGAATCGCAGCCGAAAACCAACGGACCGGTTGGAGAAGCAGTCGGTGAATACAGAACTTGAAATGAAAATAGAGAAGACGAAAGTGATGAAAATAACCACCTAACAATAACAACCAGCACCAATCACTACCGATGGAAGAAATTTGAAGGAGCTCACTTCCTTCAATTATCTGGGAAGCATCATTTCAACTACAGATAGGGGCAGAGATGAGGATATCAAAACAAGAATTGGAAAGAAAGCCGAGACATTGATCGTTCTGAAATAAGTTTGCAGATTTTCTGCACTCACTCACCACAAAAAAAATAAAATCTGGATTTTCAACACCAGTATCAAGATAGTCATTTCTTCTGTATGGGTCAGAAGCTTGGTGTTCAAATAAAAAAAAGCATTTCGAAAAGCCAGCTGCAGATCTTTATATGTAGCTGTCTTTTCTGGCTCCATAATGAACATCAGGTGGCTAGAAAGAGCTAGCAACATGGAACACTAGGAACGAAACCTTTCAAGAACCTTTTGCTCAACAAATATGACGAAGAAAATGGAGATGGATCGGACACATTTTTAAGAGACTATTGGAGGAAATCACTTACCAGGTCATCGTTCTAGTGGGAACTGAATGGAAAACAACGAGTTGGGTGTGTGCCCGACAGTTACATGAAATAGATTGTGAAAAGAGTAGGTGGGAGCTTACGCGAGATCATGGAGCCACAGAGAACAGAAAAAAAATGGAGATATGCTGTTGAAGCACAATGTTCCACCAGAAACCCAAGGGAATAATAGTAACGTGAAGTTAGTACACTTAATAACAGTTTGAGTTATCTTATTCTAGAGTGGTAAGAAAATACAATTTAGGGTAGAGAACATGATAAACACACACGTGTTCCTAAGACTTAGCAATAAGATGTGAAGTTATTCAAAAGGAGGGTTAGTTGATTAGTAGGCTTGTGAAAATGTTGGCGTATAATTCGGCTGGAAGAAGAAATATAATTATAAATATGGGCCTAAAATGTCTGTCTATTCATGGATATCTCTGTCTCATGGATACCTTGTTTCACTATAACACAACTACGAATTTACCTTTATTACTTTGCATCACATGTAACACTGACTATTTTAGGTTGCCTTATTATCCCCTAAAAAAGTGACTGCATGTCCTTTCCGCCGTTATCGCAGCCAATTGACAATTTCTTACTATCTGACCAATAGGTGATAAGGTCTATGGAGGATGCATAATAATAATGCATGATCATACGACAAAAGCTGGCCATGACTATTATAAAATATTTCATGCAAGTGAGATTTCATCACAGACCGATATAAGAAATGAATCATTGAAAACTAGCAGGTATTAAATAGCTTCCCCTTCTTAGTTAGGCACTCTTTAGTAGTATGCACCAATAACTCCGGAAGTTACCTTGAGCGCGCTTTTCGACTATTACGCTACATTTTGGTCATAAATAAAATCTCTTATAACTCTAAAATTTTATGCAAAGTGTTTGCGGAAATTATCACAATTATTAACCTTTTGAACACTGAATCCAAAAAATACCATCTTATTGACAGATAATACACATAACTCACTGTTTGGATTTGTGGAATTTTTAAACATAAACACATCTATAATTGTATATATTGTTGGATTTATATGTTCAAGTTGCTCCAAGTCAGTGAGTTTATGGTTAAGATATCATTTTAGTTAAACGTACTGAACTATATTACATGTTGTCCTATTTTATAGTTGTCGTCGCTTTTTGCCCTTTTTTCTGTGAACTGTTTCCTTTGTTGATGTTGTTCTCATTGTTTGTCCGTTATTTTCTGATTTTGAGGGGAGCAACCCAAAAAGTTGCTTCTCTCTAAACTTTTACTTAATGTAATCATTCTTTTCTCAGGCGTGAGGCTAGCAACCACACCCTGTAAACAAAGTTGCTACAGAACCTTCAGCAAAATGAACCTCTTTGCACCTAAAGAAAAAGTCTGTGTAGGAACATGGAACGTCCGAACTATGTACGAGACTGGAAAAGCTGCCCAGATCGCCAACGAGATGAAAAGATACGGAATACAAGTGCTGGGAATATGTGAGAGCAGATGGAATGGGAGTGGACTCACCAAATTGTCAACAGGTGAGTCAGTGATCTACTCCGGTCACCCAGAAGACAACCACACGCACACCGAGGGCGTGGCTATCATGATGTCACCAACGGCAACGAAAGCCCTGATACAATGGGAGGCGATTTCGTCCAGGATAATAACCGCCAGGTTCAACTCCAAAGGAAGGAAAGTGTCAATCATACAATGTTATGCACCCACAAACAACGCAGACCTCGAGAAGAAAGAAGAATTCTACAGGCAACTACAGGCAACAATGGACAATACTCCAGTTGGCGACATGAAAATACTAATGGGAGACATGAACGCCAAACTGGGACCAGACAATACGGGAAGGGAACTCATCATGGGTAGAGAAGCTCTAGGAGAAATGAATGAAAACGGAGAACTCTTCGCCGACTTCTGCGCCTTCAACGAACTGGTGATTGGTGGCAGTGTATACAAGCACAAAGACATCCACAAGGCTACATGGGTGTCACCAGACGGGCAAACCAAAAACCAAATCGACTTCATCTCAATCTCAAGGAAGTGGAGGCGCAGCCTACTGGACACAAAAGCAAGAAGAGGAGCAGACGTTGGCTCAGACCACTATCTCGTACAAGGGACAATCCAAATCAAATTAAAAGCTTTCAAAGAAGGAGGAGCTGCAGATAGACCACAAGCCAAGTTCAACACTCAAAAGCTGAAGGACCAGGCTACAAAGGACATCTTCATTGCAAGCATAAAGGACAAAGCCGAGACACAAATCAACACTAGCGAAGAGGTCGGCGTTGAAAAGCACTGGAACAACTTGAAAACGGTGTGGAGCCAAACCTGCATAGAAATTCTAGGCAGAAAAAAGAGACAGGACAAACAGTGGCTCACTACGGACACTTGGAAACTAATAGAAGAGAGAAGGACAGTGAAGCAAAAGATTATCCAGTGCTCCGACGAGCAACAAAAACAGGAGCTGAATGCAAGCTACAATACACTGAACAAAAGAGTGAAGAAAAGTGCCAGGGAAGACAAAAGAAAATATTATGAAACCATGGCAAACGAAGCAGAACAAGCTGCAGGCAAAGGAGACCTCGCCACACTCTACCAAACAACTAGGAACCTTTCGGGCAAACGTTCGACACAGATTAAGCCAATAAAGGACGACAATGGAAAGTCAATCACCAAAGAGGTGGAACAGAGAAAGCACTGGGTTGAACACTTCAAAAGACTTCTAAATCGTCCGCCACCTACAACACGTCCAGCAATACCAACAACGGAAGCAGAACTACCAGTGAACACTGACCCCCCGACGAAATCGGAAGTCCTGAATGCAATCAAGATGCTTAAAACTGGGAAAACACCGGGACCAGATGGAATCCCAGCAGAGGCTTTGAAAATAGACCCAGAGACAACAGCGGACTTGATGACACCACTACTGGAGAAGGTGTGGAAAGAGGGCAAAGTACCCGAGGATTGGAAGAAAGGATACTTATTCAAACTTCCAAAGAAAGGAGACTTAAGTCAATGTAAAAACTGGCGTGGAATTATGCTTCTGTCCATTCCAAGCAAGATACTAAGTCGCATCATCCTGGAGAGAATCAAACAAGCCCTAGATGAAAAACTTCGTCCGGAACAGGCTGGATTCAGGAGAAACAAATCATGTATTGATCAAATCGCCACTCTACGGATCATCATTGAACAAAGCTTGGAATGGCAGTCACCTCTCTATCTCAACTTCATCGACTTTGAAAAGGCCTTCGACAGCGTCGATCGAGAGGTCATTTGGAAACTACTTCGCTACTACGGGGTCCCATCGACAATTATACACCTCATCCAACAGTTATACGACAATGCTGCATGCCAAGTAATCCACAACGGGAAACTTACGGAAGCCTTCGAAGTGAGGACGGGAGTGAGGCAAGGCTGTCTACTATCACCAATGATCTTCCTGATTGCAATCGATTGGATAATGCGACAGACAACGGCAACCAACGAGGGAACAGGCATAAAATGGACTGACACAAAAGACTTGGAGGATCTGGATTTCGCCGATGATATATGTCTGATTTCCCATAAACTGGAAGATATGCAAATGAAAAGTAACAAGTTGGCAGAAGAAGCATCAAAGATAGGACTTCACGTGAACATAGATAAAACAGAGATGATGAAGATTCCTTGCCAACATCAACAGCAACAACAGACCACAATAAGCATAAATGGGAAGAACCTGAAAGAAACAACCTCCTTCACCTACCTGGGAAGCATCGTCTCAACTACAGGCGGAACTGACGAGGACATCAAAGCCAGAATCGGAAAAGCAAGACAAGCTTTCATTACTCTCAAATCTGTGTGGAGGTCAACAGCATTCAGCATCAAAAATAAGATCCGGATTTTCAACTCCAATGTGAAGTCAGTGCTACTATACGGATCAGAGACTTGGCGAGTCATAAAGAGCATCTCAAACAAACTTCAAACCTTCATTAACAACTGTCTCCGCTCAATACTCAAGATCAGATGGCCAGAAAAGATCAGCAACAGGGATCTCTGGGAGCGAACCAATCAGGAACCGATTGTGAAACAAATAGGCAGAAAGAAATGGAGATGGATTGGCCATACGCTGAGGAAACCATCAAGTGACATCACTAGACAAGCCCTCGAGTGGAACCCGAAAGGGAGGCGGCGAGTTGGTCGTCCAAGGGTGACTTGGAGGAGGTCATGTGAAGAGGAGATGAAAGCATGTGGGCAGACCTGGAGCAGGGTGAAAAAGTTGTCAAAAAACCGAAGTCAATGGAGGTGCGCAGCTGAAGCCCTATGTTCCTCTAGGAACTAAAGGATACAATAATAATAATAATAATACCAATAACTCCACCGGGGATCGAACCTAGAACCGTGAAGATCCTGTATTTACGAGGTAAGGATGTTGCAATAGGGTCACTGGGATCGACTGATTTTTTTGACTGACTAATTGACGCAGTGGCAGTCAGCTCTTTATCTCAACTTCATCAACTTTTAAAAGGCCTTCGATAGAGTCGGTCGAGAGATGATTTGAAAACTACTTCGCTACTACCAAGGGTTGCCACCAACAATTATACATCTCATCCAACAGTTGAACGACAATGCTGCATGCCATGTAATCCACAACGGGAAACTCATAGAATCCTTCGAAGTGAAGACGGGAGTAAGACAAGCTGACTGGCTGCCTACTATCTCCGATGATTTTCTTGATGATTGGATAATGCGACAGAAAGCGGGCAGAGGGGAAACAGGCATAAAACGGGCACACTAATAACTTGGAGGATCCGTATTTCGCCGATGATATATGTCTGACTTCCCACAAACTGGAGGATATGCAAGTAAAAAGCAACAGTTTGTCACAAGAAGCATCAGGTGAACATATAGAAAACAGAGGTGATGAAGAATCCTGGCCAACACCACCACCAACAACAGACAACAATCAGCCAGAATAAATGGGATAAATCTAAAAGAGCAACCTCTTTTACCTGCCCACCTACCTGGGAAGCATCATTTCAACTACAGGAGGATGGAACTAACGAGGATATCAAAGCGAGGATCAGAAAAGCAAAGTGAGCTTTTATTACTCTCAAGTCTGTGTGGAGATCAACAGAACTACTCAGCATGGAAAATAACATCGGGATTTTCAACTCCAATGTGAAGTGCTACTTCTTATACGGATGGATCAGAGACTTGCACTGCGCGTCATGAAGAGCAGCTCAAATAAACTGCATACCGTCATCAACAGCTGTCTTCGCTCAACACAACTCAGGATCAGATGGCCAGCCAGAAAGGATCAGCAACAGGAGGGGATCTCTGGGAGCAAACCAACCCAGCAGGAACCGATAGTGAAACAAAAATGCAGGAAGAAATGCAGGTGGATTGGCCATATTCTGAGAAAACAAGCCATCAAGTGACATCACATGCCAGACCATCGCTCAAGTGGGACCCGAGTTGGAAGCGGCGAATTGGTCCTCAGTGTGAAGGTGGGGTGACATGGGGGAGGTGATGTGAAGAGATGAAAGCACGTGGACAGACGTGGAGACAGGTGAAAAAGTTGGGGAAAGTGCGGCTGAAGCTGTATGTTCCTTTAGGAACTAAAGAAAACAATAATAATTATAGCAATAATTGACACAGCAAGCGCAGTAAATGAGATTTAAGCGACCTTAGTACAATAAAAATATTCAACAGGCTAAACAATTCAGCCTTCTGAAACGTCTGACGCACATGAACATGTGAACTAAACACACACACACACAGAAATATCACGTAATACAGCAGTTTTATGCATGTGATGACATAAAATGACTATATATTACATGAGTTAATAAAACTTAACGAAATATTTTAAGCTACGATTAATATATCATGAGAAATATCTTTAGAAAATAAAAATATTCAGGCAATGTAAACTAGCCGAATGACGATGGTGATGTAGAAGATGAAAAGGCACTCACAGTATTTGTCGGTACTTCAGTAGATGCTACAGAAAGCAAAACGAAAGATAAAAAATAGGAGAACAGGTGAATAGAAAACTATAATTATTCATATTTTAAATGAATAGATGACTTTAATGTGGTGCTAACAAAATACTTATTATTCAATCATTTAAATATTCCCATTAAGATAATTTTAGAACATTAATAAAGCAAGCAAATACGTGTTTTCGGTAAATTTCCTACCTGGGTTTACTATAATTACATAAAAAAAATATCAGTCACAGACATTTGAAAAAATGCGCATTCATTGGATCAAATATAATCAAGAAGAATGTAAGTAGAATAATGACAGTAGTAAATTATGAAGCGAAGGTTAAAATAGGTGCCACCAATATGTTGGCTACACCAATAAACTTCTAGCTATATGCCCTAACATCGTCGAAGCATCTGCGCAAGGAGTAGCCGACAGGTCAACCTGAGACCGAGCACTTCAGTACAATCAATCGACAAGAAAATCTGAAATCTAATTAAATAATTAATATGACCCGTTGCACAAGAGGTGGCTGTCTTGTGGCGCAAGCGATCTAGTGGATAACGCTTTAGCGTTTGGAACTATGGGCACTGGGTTCAGGCCTCGGTGGGAACACCATCACTCACTACGGAATGCAGGAACATCCAGATGATGAGTCACAAATAAGACGAAATGTGCATCCTGGATTCCCCTGCTAGTCTAGGTAAGTGGAGAAGCTGACATCTTACAAATCTGTTCCATCGGTAGTGACTGGTGCTTGTTGTTATTGTTAGGTGATTATTTTCAACGTCCGTATCTTCTCTATGTTTTCTGGAAGTGCTATCTTCACTGTTAGCCTCTTCTACCAACTAGTTGGGTTTCGCCTATAATTTCTGGAGTTCGTATGATGCTAGACGGAAATCGTCCGCAAGGTCCAGATCTTCTAGAGTCTTCTAACCTGTTCAGCGTATCGCTGTCTTCTCACTCTCCACTCACCGTATTCCGCATAATCTAGTCCACCGCAATTAGGAATGCCATCGACAGTGATACTACCTGGGTATCTAAACCTTGGTAGGTGGAGTGGGGTTCAAACCCATAATTTAATGGTTGAATGTCGAGTGTGTAGACTAATACACCATAATTATTGAGCTTATTCGAAAGTGGCTGTGTGAACTCCATCTTAACCCAAAGATTCGGCTTATCGAAGTATATTTTGGTGACTTTCAGCTCCGTTCAAAAGACGAACTCCTTAAGCTAAATTAAAAATAGTAAAAATAAGATAAATAACCACAATATGAGCTGCCTTTGTTTGCCCTTAGTGTAACCATATATGATGATGTTTGAGATTCTGACGATGAACAAGTCCAGCTTATAGGCTTAATTTATTCTTCGTATTTCTCAATATACAAACTATGCATTATGTAATCACCTGTTTTTAATTTGCATAATTATTTCTCTCCTTTAATTTTCATCCTAATTTTGCGGCTAATTATCACCCTATGGACTAATTTGGTAGTGATAGATGTTTGTTAACAAAAAAAATTAGTAAATTATATGTATTGCATTAAACGAAATGCTCTGTGTACTAGTCAGATATTGGGGTTTCTTAGGAGTTTGAACCAAAATCAGTTAGGGAATTATTGAAAAGCAAGCGGGGTTGAATAGCTATTTCAGCTTGACACTCTTCATAAGTGCACACTCATAATCAGCTATTGAGCTCAGGGTGTTCTAATTACGGGGCGTGCCAGTTGGCCGTTTTGCTACTGGGTGGCGACTTAGTCACCATGATATAATGCAACCAACAATCAATCAGGACTTCTTCTTCTTGAATTTCAGTGATTCTTTAACTGGTGTTTCTTTATCCCTTCAGGTTCCTCGAGGAACACAGAGCTTCAAGCTAGAGGCTTGAAGTTTCTGTAGCAGTGCTTATTTTTACAGGATAAGGTTGCTAGCCTCATGCCCAACCTTCCCTCTTTGCCATTTCTATTACTGGCTTAGAGAGGTGAAGGAGTGCGTCGGTGCCCGAGAATTGAACCCCGGACCATGTGCATGGTCGGCGAGCGTCCTAAGTGCTGTGCCACCGACACACTTTAACTGGTGTTGGTTCGTTGAAATGTGTATTAGTGTAGAGTCATTGACAAAAACCCAACTAAAACTTAAAGATTTCGCCATACAACCTGATATTTTCTAAATATATACGCACCATAGTAGATTTCAACAGAAAACCAAAACCAACTGAAAAGTCACTGATATCGAAGAAACAATGGACAGCAAATCATTTCAAGTTTCAACATATTTATTGAGCAATAGGCTTGGATTCGTTTACTTTCAGATTTCCAACAACAATCGCGAAACCTAGGCCCAAGATTTTCTCTACCAATTGCCTCGAACTAGGCCTCAGACTTTTATCAACAGCTGTGTCTTCGTTTCATACTGAAGATCGGACGGCCAGGAAGAATTGGCAACAAGGAACTCAATCGGTGAACCAATCAAGAACCTATTGCTCAATATATATATATATATATATACCGAAGATGGATCGGACACACATTGAGGAGACTGTTGAGTATGATTGTTCGCCAGGTCATCGCTCGAGTGGAGCCCAACTAAGAAACGATGAGTTAGTCGTCAGAGAGTGATATGGAGGAGATGAGACCAGCTGAAGAGGAGTGCAGAGAACAGGGTGAAACGGAGATTTGCTGTTGGAGCTGGATGTTCCACGTGTAACCCAAGGGAACAATAATAACCTAACAACAAAAGACCATTCCTCTAGTGAAACCCTTTTAGAGGTTAACAGTACTGTTTTCTGCGAAATGAACATAATTTAGAGTACATGCTCATTCGTGCTGGTCATCCACTAAGCATGTGGCATAAATTCAACATATGACTGATTGTCCATCTGAGCTCTATAGGCAAAATGCTGTAAAAACAGTCATAACAAAGAGTTTCACAACAGCTTCACATTTGTGTTACACAAAATTAAATTGTTTAAGTTCTTATTCTGTTTATGTCATGTTTATTAAACGATTATTTAAAAGAATTTGTAATAAAAAGAAAATAAAGTATCCAGTTATTTTTATTTTTTTTATGGTTACAGCTTGATTCCACACCGTATTTTTGGTACAAGTGTGGAATTTTCAGCGTGGATATCGGTAGCCCAAAATTCGCAGGCCGACCATAGATATCAGGTGTGCGTCGGTGCGGGCTCGAACCCCGGACCATGTGCATGGTCGGCGAAAGTCCTAACCACTGTGCCACCGACGCTGTCCAATTAGCCTTTTTATAAGCTGAAAACAAAACTGTTAATTATGCACAGTTTTGTGATAAATAAATAAAAAGTTTAATTACTATTATTATTAGTTTTTTATTGTTTAGCGAAATAATTACATCAAAACAGATTTCTTTTTTAAACATAACAGTTGTTTTGTGTAAAGTATGATAGTCAGAAAGTCAAGAAGACTTATGCGAATTTTCAAGTATTCATTTTGTAGGGATTTTATTTCATCGGGTGTAGGATTTCACCATCAGCTGACATCGGTTAGAGAACCATTGGAAAACCTGAAGGGATTACTGGACAGCTGTTTCGTCCAGGTGTTGGACTACTCATCAGTATGCACCCACCCCTGAGGTTAGAAACCAGGATTTTCTGGTTACAAGACGAGCTATCTCATGAACCATTAAGCTACTGGGACTCGGTCCAATGGCCAGTCCATGAATTCTAACTTCTGCCAACTCACAACATAGCGCGATCACTTCACGATGTCTTCTTCTATGAGTTACTGCCTCATATGCCTCAACCTGCTGTACCCTACTGGTTACGGCTTCCCAAAAGAACCCCAAGTGACTACTTAGCTGAACAGGGCCAGTCGCTATTGAGCATCAGATAAATCTTCAAGTATTGGTTTTTGTAGGGACTTTATTTGATCGGTCGCAGGATTTCATCATGAGCTGACATCATTTTGTGAACCATTGGAAAACCTGTAAGTACTGGATAGCTACTTCGTCCTACTGGTCACGACTTCCCACTATAACCCCAGGTAACTACCATCCTTGTAACTAGAAGGTCCTGGGTTCGAACCCCAGTAGGTGGTCACTGCTGAAGAAACCCAAACGAGAACGAAATAGCTGTCCAGTACTTCAAAGTTTTCCAATGGTCCTCTAATTGATGTCAGCTTACAATGAAATCCTCCAACTTATGAAAATTGTAAGCAGACTAGTTGTATCAGTAGTTTATTATATGATAGTTTACAGTTTCAGCGTGAAATGACTTGTACTGCGATTTCGAGCTATAGGAATCACCAAAAAGATAAAGAATTCAGTAAAACTCAGCAGTTAACGATTTACAAGTAGGATGAGGTTTAAATTTAGAGTTCCATTACCAGTCACTTTCAACTGAAATCATAATTTCTTCAGGAAATCATGATATAACAGGGCCACCACTCATCATCATCGTCAGTGGGTAAGTATTATCACTATTTGATTCTATAAATAGTCATGGCATTGAATTAAGCTTTCGAGAAATCCATTTTAAAACCAGTTGCTCAAGTATCGAAGTTTATTTACCTATGCTATTATTGGTCGGTTGGAGACAATCGATAGGAAGACTTCACCCATGGTTTTGTGCTCGTTGGCACTCGGTAGTCAGCAAGGTGTCCCATCCAATCTTGAAAGAATTCATGTCTCTTGTGAGGTACGAGCATGTGGAACCTGGTGCTGCAATCAGAGACCTTACTACTGAGCTACCTATGCTAGTTAATTAGGACTCAGTTATTCGGAATAGATTATTTTATACTCCGGGATACGAATCACACCTACTCAGTTTGTGTGCGCGCGCGAGATAGAGAGTAGTGGTGATACCACCTCGTCGTTCTAGCTGAATGAAGGATGAGGCGAAAACTGAATCCAAGAGTCATTGGACGAAAGTGTAGTGCTGTAATCAGTGAGCATCGGTCGGGAATCGAACCCTGACACATTGTGCCTTGGTGAATATCCTGCTACTGCCGGAAGTATCACAGAACAGATAAACAGTGATAA